ATATAAAAGAAAACATTTGCTTATATTTCATAATGACCACAACGCATTCCCTTTATTTTCGCATTTGTTAAAAGTTCATGCCCTTATTTCAAGTTTTGCTTTTTAAAAATTAAGTTAAATATCAATTTTTATATTTCAACTTTAAAAGTTGTATACAATTTTTATCCTTTTAACTTTTTTAATCAAACTGAAATACATAATCAGTGCTAATTAATCAAAATACCTCGTGTAAGGGTGGTGGCAGGAAGATATATGCTGATGGTTTCAGATGGAAACAGGGGAAAGTTGATAAAATTAAGTTTTGGCATTATACATGGATGGGTAGAGATTGAATTGGACATGAGAGCCCTTGCACTCCACATTGATATATTTTTGATTTATTTAAAAAAGTATACCTCGTGTAATTGAAACCTTTTCTTATTTAGAAAAAAATAGTGCTAATTAATTGAAATTTTAAGTTTAATTTGGATTGGTATTATATTCAAATTAATCAAAATTTGTATTATAATTTGGTTAATTTGATATTTAAAATGCTGTATATCTAAAAAATTTCAAAATTTATTTAAAAGTGAATTTTTGAATTTCCTCTCCAACAATTTTTTTCTAAATTTGTGATAAAAGAATTTGCTTTTAAAGCAAGTACCATTTAAATTTTGCCCAACATTACATTGGTTTTTCTCCGGATGTTCTTATCTGTTTGTTGTTTCCTCTTATCCATTTGGATAAGGTTTTGCTGTAAATGTCATATGGCAGTTTTGTAATGCAAAGTTTTTGTTGTGTTCAAAAAAAAAAAAAAATTCTGCCCAACATTCTATATAGAGCAGTGCTAGGGGCACGCGCCTCTTGCACTCTCTGGCCAACACTTCCCTTTTCATTGGGCCACGTAAGCTTGTTTCCGTGTTTCCGGCTTTGAAGTGCAACCTCTTATTGACCAGAATAACATGGCCCAATAAAAGTGAAAGTGTGGGCCGGAGAGTGCAGATGGTGAGTGCCCCTAGCACTCCTCCTCTATATATATGGTAATTACATAGTAGAGCAATGCTAGGGGCACTCACCTCTTGCACTCTCCGGCCAGCACTTTCCTTTTCATTGGGCCACGTAAGCTTGTTTCAGACTTTGCAATGCAACCTCTTCCAACCAGAATAACGTGGCCCAATAAAAGTGAAAGTGTCAGCCGGAGAGTGCCCCTAGCACTCCTCTTGCATATATAAGAAAATTATTTATTTCCTTGAATATAGAACGGTATTAGCATATTAATCTCTTTGTCTCATAATAATATATGTTTTTTTAATTTTACCTTCAAATTAAAAATTTGGAAACAATATATATTTTTAGCTATATTACCCTTAGCAAAAGAAATAGAGAAATAAAAATAAACAAAATTTTTTATGATAAATGAATAATTAAAGTTTGGACACTTATTAATATATTATTCAATTTAACATATTATATAACATATTTATTAAAAAATTAT